TGCGATAATATTTACACATTGTGTGAGCTAGGGCAGGAGCTCCTCACTAGAAAACTGGACACAGTGAGGCAGACCAGACCAGAGATGCCATTTGCCTTTGTGCCATAAAAGGACAGAGGACTACACTCCTCTAAATTTGCATTTACTGCAAATACAGTGGTGTTGCCCTATATGGCAAGAAAAAAAATGTGCTCCTCGTGAGCACATCACACAAGAGCACTGCAATCAGTGCCCAGCCTGATAGAAAGCCACAAATGGTATTAAACTACAACAAAACAAAATCAGGGGTTGGCAACCTTGATAAGATAACTGCCACCTAATGGTGCAAGACAAATGCATGTCGCTGGCCCCTTGCCCTGTTCTTTAATGTTCTGGACATTTCTGTGTACAGTGCTTTTTCTTGTCAGGAAAGAGCTGTTCCCCGCATGAAACGAGGGCAAAAAAGAGGAGGCTATTCTTAGTGGAACTTGGAAAAGTCCTGGTGGCTCCTCTCATTGAACAGATTCCCAGGTTCCCTGAGCACCCACTTTGGCCACCATTGTGAGGGCTGATAAGGGACTTGCTACTTGAGCAGTTTCCTCACAGTCAACACTTAGACCTAGGGTTACCATACGTCAAGGCTTCCCCGGACAGGTCCTCTTTTTGGGCCCCTTTCCAGCCATCTGGGCGGTTTTTCAAAAATCAGCAGTTTTGCCGGGTTTAGCGCTGTGACCCGTATGACCCAATACTGAAAGTTACAGTGCAGTACCAAGTGAAAGAAAACGAACCAATTCTCAATATTCAGCAGCCACTCAGTATCATCACACAGCGTTTGCAAGGCTTGTCCACATGTTTAAAAATTAAATAATATGCACATCCTTATGTGTCACGCTGCATAGTATTATGAGAAATAACGGTTAAACAGCGAATTATGAAACAACACTCTTCACTTAAGGACATATGTTGTCCACCACCCCACATCAAATGTATGACTGAAAAAATGGCGGCTTACAGTCAAAACTTGTTGACATTCACAGCACTCCCAGTGAAATTGCAGTTACGATTTTGAGATGTGTTAAGGACAGTTTGGACAAGCATCAGTTATTTCATAAATTCATGTCTTTGCAGGAGATAACTGCAATATTAATTTTGGTGGTGTCCAGCATGGTGTTGATGGTAATAATGTCTTTGCTAATTTAAAGAAGATGAAAAGCAGTGGAACGCTAGTTGGCATTGGCTGTCCAGCACACATGCTAAGTAATTGCGTTTCATCATAGTTGACATAGTTCATCTTAACATTAAGTTGATACCTTTGAAAATGTACAGGTACTTCTTGATTTACACCATTCGAACTGAACAACTAAAAGACTATTGTGACTTTGTTGAGGTTGAATACCATCAGCTGCTTTTTTCACAGCAAACCTTGATGGTTGTCATTATTTCCAGGCATTCACCGGCTGTCGCAGATGTTTCCAGCTTTTTCTTCTATCAAGAAAGTTATTTTTATGCACGTGCATTCACTGGTGAATGTGCTACATTTGCAGACTGCAGTAATAGAACATGAAAACAACTCATTGTTGGAGGTTATAAGCTTTTCAGACTGTTCTCAGATGTCATGCACAAGATGGTTTCATGTCACTGAATGTGTAGGAAATGCTAACGAAGTTGCATCAAGATGGGCTGGATGACAGTTGTGATGCTTTCTGTTCACAAGTGGCCACACTGTAGTATGTGTCTGGAATATCTGGACGCTGGAGGAGTTCAGCAGATTTGTGTGAATCGTGAATTAATCAAAGGAATTCTATTTGTTCAGCATAATTTCAAGCATATGTCATACAGAGACTTTCACGCATACCTCTGCACACATTCATTCTTAAGAAAAATACACCTGGGCTCAGCCCACATGCTCACAGTGTCGTGTTTAATTGTTTCAGAGAACTCACTGCTAATTAAGTATTTATGCTTACTTTATTCTTCACCCCAAATGGTTGTTTGTGTAGTTAAATTTTTGCTGTTTGTATGTTGTTAAAAACAATGATTTCGTATTTTATTTATTCAAGAAATGCTTTTTTATGTATTACCTTTAGAAAAATACAATTGTATTTTTTTGTTTAAAAGCCATTGGTGACAACAGGGAAACCCCAATTTACAAATGAGTTCCATTCTTGACTTTTGTTTGTTAATTTGTGCCTTATACTGTATGTTTTCTATCCATCACCATAACCGCTTAATCCCAAATGGGGTTGCGGGGGGGACCAAAGCCTATCCTGGGAACAAGGGGCACAGCTGGGAACCAACCCCGTGCAGTCACCAACACAGCGCAGGCTGCACACATTCACAGGGCCAATTTAGACTCACCAATCAACCTATCCTGCACGCTTTTGGACCGTGGGAGAAAACCGGAGCCCCAGCAGAAACCCACACGAACATGGGGAGAGCGTGCAAACTCCACACAGAGAGGACCCGGGACCGAACCCAGGACCAACTTGCTGTGAGGCAGCAGTGCTAACCACTGCGCCACCATGCCACCCTATATGTTTTCCATTGTTTACATATTTTTATTATGAACTACTATAATTAATTGAAGGCTTAATTCAATCAAAAAACCTAGTACTTTATTGAACAGATTTTGTATTTATATTTGTTGTTTCACATTATGTATATCACAGTGGACGGTCATGAAAAGGAGCCCCCTGGTGCGGGTCAGTTACTGTAAGTTAAACAATTTATTTCCTTCTTTTAAATTTGTGACATTTTGTGAATGACAGAGTGCCCTGTTTTTCTTACCAAATTTGCTAACCCTACTAAATCAACAGTTGACTGTAAGATTGCCATATATCTAGGTTTCTCTGAATGCAAATTTTGGTTTTATAGGGTGGTTAGGGAAAACTCATTAAAATTAAATTACAGTCTATGCGATTTTTAAAATTCTGTTGGCGTGGACAATGTCTCAATTCATAGCTCTTCAGAAATTTTTACTCCCAAGTGTTTTCTTCAGACCTCTCTAATATAATTAATGAAATAATTAACAAATCAAGTAATTCATTTATTAGAATCTGGCAAATTTGGGAGAAAAAAAAAAACGGAATATGGATGTGATTATGAGACCATATGTTTTTTTTTCCACATAATTAGGTATTTCACTGTTACAGTTAAGATGTCCTGCAACAATGTCCTTAGGTGTACACTTGTGTGTATGTTGATTGGTTGTTTGCAGTCAGGGACGGGCCCCCATTGGGCCATACCCCCCAAATTGCCTACTGTTAAGTACTCTTCATATCTGTAAAATGTAATAATGTAAGTCATGTAATTATAAGCAGTTAAGATTCTTCTCCAAATGATAATGGCAGTTTCACTGCCGATTAACATTCTTCTGAAAATAAAATCTATATGAGTATCCATGTGGGGGCATTTTCCCCCTCAAGATGCTAAGTGTGCCCTGGAGGCCATAGTATCTACAAACCTTTGGGCTATGCTGGACTTCAACACTGGAAAGAGAGACCACCAAGAAGTCTTGCTCCCCTCACACCTGCCAGTTTGCTCTAAGGCAGGATACAAATTGAGTGATACCTTTTCAAACTCCATCACATTTGTGAAAATAAATGCTAAATAAATATACATGTACAGTACCAGTCCAAAATCTGGGCATACCTGATTTTAAAGTATTTTTCTCTATTTCAGCTATGTGTATTCACCTTATAGTAAAAGATCACGAGACAATGAGGTAATACATATCATATACTGTAATGACTGAGAGAAGTGTTCAAGTGAAAATTTTCTCAGATTTCAGACTCTTCAAAATAGCCCCCTTTCGCTTTGATGACAATTGGCATTCTCTCAACCAGCTCCCAGATGTAGCCACTTGGAATGCTTCTTCAACGATCCTGAAGAAATTTACACATGTTCTGGCCACAAGTTGACCCAATTCATCCCAAACCAGCTGTACAGGGTATAGCTGGGGGCAGGTCATAGGTCATAGCATTCCATCTGTTTCCTTGTTCACAAGGTAATTGTATGTTGAAAAACAAATGATTTTCAGTGTCCAGACTTTTCACTGAAACTGTGAACGAATATATAAGTTGAAATACATCTGTTCTACCCTTTAATACTGCATATACATGATGACACATGCCTGAGAGGAAAAAGGGTTTATAATACTGAGTTCTGAATATAAAAATGCATCACAGAGATTCAGATAAGGCAGGTGCCTCAGGAAACATCACACACTTTTTGCCCTTGGCCAATTCGACCTCCCTGCCAAGACTCATGCATCAAAGCAGTAAACGTGCTTCCCTGACAGCATGGTAATCAGCAGTGTGATGGCAGTGACACGCTGTATTAAAAAGAACAGCAGCAATCAAAAGTGTCACATCTAATAAGTGGCGGCACCATCAGAAAGTCACTGAACTGTCTCTGGCGACCTTGGCTATTACAATGCGATGTATGTCTCTAGCAAATGTTGCTCCAAGGGACGGGACCCAGGAATCAGCAGAACATAACGGCTCACCAAATTTACCTCTGGTGCTATACACCGTCAAACAGGAAAATCAGAAATTGTGTTCAACCTACGTGAAAGATGGAAGGATTTCCCAAAAAAACTTCAACAATAAATACGTCCATGCAGCCATCAGCTTATCCTGCGTAGGGTCACATGAAATGATACATTGTTTCAGCATCGTCATCACAATACACAATAATCACATTGCATGTGTCGGCACTGCTTTGTGTCTGTCCACACAACTCACAACTCCAGCAACTTATTTCACACACTCTACCAGTAGATTGTAAGTTTTATTTGGCTATCATTTGTTTTGGGTAATTTCATCTCCTCTCCTCCTGTTTTATAAGAATCACAATATTACTTGCGGGTATTTCACATATCAGAATGTGATATCATGCAGCCCTACTTGAAACCTACCCCGGACAGGCCAGAAGGGGGAAGTACAATCTCAGTGGGACTCCAGTCCATCAGAAAACACACAAATGCACATACTGCAGCAAGGCAACACAAACACAGGAGCTTAACCAAAGAAATAAAGCTTTATTGACCCCCAAAATACAAACAGTAACAAGCTCAAGATCTTAATAACTGGGCCCATGAAAGAGGTCAACAGAAATGAACAAAACTTAACATTACAAAGCAAAGTATTAACTGAAACAAACTGACCTTTCAATAAGGAGACATGAAGGAACATATATAGTGGTTTGGCCAAACCAATTAACACACAAAAGGGGTAAACCAAATAAACACTACATATAATTAAACAGAGCAAAACACAACTAAACCCCAACTCCCCCCTCTTGCCATGGCAGCACATGGTTCACTCCTGCTCCAGGGGTTGTCCTCAGCCACACCTTTATAGAGACTAAGAAAAGACCATCCCCCACAACCGAAGTAACTGCAAAACCAAGAGATTAATTAGGCAAACACTGCACATAACCCTAAGATATCAATACATGTCCACTACACACAAGCACATCAACTAAGAACTATAAATTGTGACTGTAAATGAAGCAAAAAGCATACAAAGTAATCAACTAAGCATGTAAGAATGTTTAAGGTCTTACTGTGTGGCTGTAGCCATCACAACCCCTGATGCTACAGATGTGACACAACAGTAACCCACGCTGAGCAAACATGCCTCCCTGTGTTAAACAACATTAAAACAAGACGCCATTACATAGATACTTATGTTGAGGTAAATAAACCAGCAATAAAAAAAAATATGCCACCGATTCATGTGACATAATTTACAGTATTATTGGACCAGTACTGAATATAGCAAAACAAACCTGGTTCTATAAATAGATTATTATTTACTAATTTCCTCCACATACACCTAGTTGCTAGACAGAACAAAAGCACTCTGCATATTCTAAATCAATAATAAACGATAGTTTAAGAAATAACACTGACTGAGACTTCATCACTGTGGAATGAGAGACAGCATCCTAAGTTTGCACAAGAGTTACATTTTGGCTGTATCCACGCCTGCGCTCATCATTGTGAAAGGATTCCAACAAAGGCCATCGGCTTCACAGTCTGGCTGAAAGACCTTGGAACCCATTTGTGGCAGGCAGCAGGAGGCATGCATGGATGAAACAACCAAAAATCTGTAAAATTGCTATAGTCATTTCAGATCTCAGACAGGCACTGGAGCCCCTGGGAAATACCCAGGAGGCCTGGAGGGTCCTGGAAGACTGATTTGAAGCAGAAAAACAAAAGAGAGAGATTATTCAGGATGTTACAACCTAGACAGAGGCATAAAGCAGGGTCTTGAAATGGCATCTGCTACCATGTGTCACTTTGCAAAAGAGTTTTAAGCCGTGATACCAGACCACACAGCACTGCCCACTCATGGCTGTCCAGCCCGAGAAATATGCCAGCAGGCTTGCAAGAAATTCCAGGTGTTAAAAAAAATACCACATTAAAAATAAAGGTGGTGGAGTTGGTGGGGGAGGCAAAGCAAAATTAATCTGAGGAAGCATGGACTGATAAAATGACCCCTACTGATGGACACCCCTAATTACTTCTCTGAATTCCTGCTGCCTCTGATTTCCAGGGGTGGGGGGGGAGTTTTATAAGTGATACCATGGCAACGCATATTCAGTATCACTCGAAGCCCATGTGGCGCCTCTAGGGCAGCTTCACTGCTGCCACCCCCCCTCCAAGACAAGAAATCGGCTTCCTGAGTCGGTGCCCAGTCAGAAGATGGCACCTAATGAGTTGACCAACACTGCCCATCTCGACAGAGCACTCTCACCCTAGTGTATGTGACTGGGATGAAGCAGGGGGTGCTGAGGATTGTTGCTGGTTTGTATGGTCTCCCTGCACTGGCCGGGCTGCCTGCTTCTGAGCAGGTGGCTTTAAACATGTCCGCCTATTTTTATCCTTGCCACTGCCTTCCTCTCACACACCCTCTCTGTGTTCATCAGAATCGACTCCACACTGGGCATCCCACCAGTTCTAGCTGTTCCGTGTGTCTATATCCAGAAACCTGGACAGCTAAAATGCGCTGTCAGAACTTCTTTTTTTCTCAGTGTGTCACCCTGGTGCTTCATTGCCTTAAAAATAACTAATAATAACTATAACTAATCCATGCTAATAAGGATAATAATAGTTTTAACAGCTGCCTCAGAAAGGGAATCATTTTGAATGAACATTTAAATGTCATTTCCTCCATTTTTGCACGTTTCTTTCTCAGTGATGAATCTACGCAGGCTCATCATGATAAATCAGAATATAAGACGCATCCAACAAGTCACTGGCTGCCGCAGCACTAGCATGTGCTAGCGTACCTCGCCATAATTGAGTCATATGCTGTCAGAAAAGAGGTCAACGAACCGCATGTGCTTTGCTGCATTTTAATCAGGCCCTTACAACACGGAGTGGTGTGATTACACTTATTCAGGCCAAACCATCATTTCCAGCTAAGCTAAAGCCTTTCTTCTCGATCAAAAGTGTCTGATCACAGCAGAAAGTAATGATACAAAAACACCACTGGGGAAGGAGAAAACAGCTTAGATGAAGTTTCTGGCAATCCATGTTCAACAACCAACAGACTCTCAACAATTAGACCCCCTCTGAAATGCTTTCTTCTCCCCTACAGTAAACCATCACAGGATTTTTACTCATATTCCCACACATCGTCCACTGATGAGCTGATAATATTTGTTCACAAGGGCCAAAGGTCACTGATGTCATTCTTATTCATTTTTAAAGGAGATTTTGTTTTTAAATGGAATCAAGAGAGGCATATTCATTTCAAAAGATCGGTAGTCCTTGACCTTTATTATTTCTATCCATCCATCCGTCTATCCATCTGCCACTTATCTGGGGCTCATTCTCAGGGACAGAACGCTAAGCAGGGATGCCCAGACCTCCCTCTCCCCAGCCACCTCCTCCAGCTCCTCCGGGGGAATACCATGGCATTCCCTGGCCAGCAGAGAGATATAATCTCTCTAGAGTGTCCTGGGTCTGCCCTGGGGTCTCCTCCAAGTTGGATACGGTTCTCTGTTTTTCTTTTGGATAAAATGTACCTGCTGTCATAATGCCTTAAGCATCGAAGACATTGGGAGGATATTCACTGAGGAGTCAGTGCTTAGTCATGATTTCAGACTATTGGCAACATGGAAGACCAAAGGACAGTGAGGACAGACAATTTCTCAACAGCCAGTGATAAAGGAAGCTGCCCCCCCCCCCAACACACACACACACACACAGACACTTTAATTGACTTTGGGTAATGTCAATCACAGAATGCAGGACACAGTTTTCACAAACATTTGAGGTGAGTTTTTAAATGGCTTGAATATGCATAAATCCAAACGTTTTCAAGTGTCTAGACTTGGTGGATCCATAAATATAAATATAGGTAGATATAGGCTTAGTGCCTTGCAAAAGTATGGAACCCCCTTAAGTAATCAGATTCGTCTGAATTACAAAAGACACATACATATTCTTCCTGTATTTATTTATTGCTTGCTTTTCAAAATGTCTGTGCTATTCCACTGGTAGTTATATCTCAGTAATATTTTCATTATTCTGATAATGTCAGAATTTGAACTTTTCAATTAAATGATTGCTTTGAAGAAAACCTAAATGTGCTGTAAGCTTTGCACAATCACAGTGACTCTTGTCATTTCTATTCTGTGGAAAAGAGAAAGATAAATATGACGTGACATGGAGTGCCTCACATATGAAGGAGTTCAATAGGCTACTTAGTAGCTGATACAGAAACTATAGAATGGTGATTATTGGGATTTACACACAATAACAGAACAGTACAGTGTATTTGAAATTTGTAATAAAATGAAGAGGTCATAACCGTCCGATTTGCATTTAGTGAAAAATTAGAAGAAACAAGAAGAATATATTTTCCTTTTCTGCATAAACACAACAATATACATAAAATCATAACTACTGGGGGTGGTGTGTGGTTCAGCAGTTAAGGATACTATCCCTCTGACTGGAAGGTTGCCAGTTTGAATCCCGTGGGTAACAGAGTAATGTCACCACTGGGCCCCTGAGCGAGGCCCTTAACCCCCAATTGTTGCTTTGGATAAAAAGAATTTGCTAAGTAAATATAGCAATAACTATTCATATTATGTCTCTCTATTGCGTGCACCAGTGACAGTCTTAGATTTTCCTCTTTTGATCCCACCACCCCCATTTTACTGTTGCCCCTTCCTGCCCCTCCCCTGAAAATAATCTAGAGCTTCCACTGAAATAATTAGCTCAATTTTCCTTCACTGTGCCCCATGGGCAACAAAAAATGCCACTAAGGGTGTACCTTCTATTTTTTAAGATCTTCTAATCAATACTGCCACCAAACTTCCACTTCAGGAAGCTGGGAGGCGGGGGGTGTAGTAAACACATCTCGGCAAATATCACCTCTCCCCATTTACTGTTTTTTGGCATCCGTAATCTTTATTTATCTGTATATCAATAAGACAGTCGGACTGCCTTTTGTTATTATACAGACATTATAAGACAAACTCAATTCACAACATGTAATTAATCAACATCCAATGGTGATTAATTGCGACTGCAATTTTTTGCTATACCACTCTTGCGTGAAGAGCTATATAATAAGAAGGCTGTATTCTTCAGATGGCAGCAATCATTGGATAGTTGTTTACCATGTCATACAAACAACTCAAAAGCCAATTGTCAATCACCACCAGGGTTTTGTGAATGGGGGGCTTGCAAGAGTGTCCATGTCTGAAAAGTGCCTAATAAGAAAAAGCTCATATTGGCAAAGGGATCTCATGTGATCTTGTACTGATCACACTCAGGATGGGAACAAGTCATTACTTGGCAAGTCTGAGTCAAGTCTCAAGTCATTTGCCCTCAAGTCCAAATCGAGTCCAAGTCTTTCCATCATTTTTGCTGTTAAGCCACAAGTCTTCAAATTTGGACCATTTCGAGGTGTGAGTCATGTAACTTGAAACCCTACCTGTCAGTTTTTTACCTTTATTGATTTAAGCTTACGGCAGCAAAAACCAGTCACAGTTTGTCATAGGATACATTCCTTATAGGCAGAGATAGGTTGAAATGAGAATGTCCACTCACGGTTGTCCGTGATTTTATGTCCGTGTATATGAATAGAGTGATGCATCTTTCCATTAAATTCTCTCTGGAGACTTTGCATTCAGCCAACCAAAAATGCAGGCAGCAGAGAATTAATATACATAGAAATGATAAAATTAAAGTTATGGTATCTAGAGGGGAACTATAATCTCAAGTCTTCTCAAATCACAGGGTCCAAGACAGGTCCAAGTCTGGAGTATATGCCATCAAGTCCAAGTCTTTCTATCAGTTTTGCTGAGTCGAGTCACAAGTGTTCTAATTCGTGACTTGAGTCTGTGTCGAGTCACGAATCAATGACTCAAGTCCCTCCTTCTTCATCACAGTCTATAGACCAGGGGTCTCCAACTCCGGTCCTGGAGAGCTACTATCCAGTAGGTTTTCTATCCTACCTGGCTTCTGATGAGTCACACCTGCTCCTTGTATTTACCTGAGAACAGGTGTGGCTTATCAGAAGTCGGGTAGGATAGAAAACCTACTGGACGGTAGCTCTCCAGGACCAGAGTTGGAGACCCCTGCTATAGACTCTTAGCAACACCAATACATCAGTTACATTGACTCTACAGTACCCTATATTGACTTCTTCATTTAGCTTCCAGTTTTCACCTGATTGGAATGTGACAGCAGACATTACAAAACTTGCTCATCCATTCTATTCCCCTTTCTCTGTAATTCTGCATTAAAGATTGAAAAAAACGTGTTGAACCGAGCAGCTTTAAATGTGTTTTCTTTTATATTTTTTTATTTTATATTTTATAAAATATATTTTATATTTTATACTTTAAGACACATTTCAGCAGATCTTCGGCTTAGATGTGTCCTGCCAGAGGAGAGATTAGGCAAGTGGACTCCTTAAGTTAATGTGCTCCAAATCTCAGGACCCCAGTGGAATGTGCTATGGATTGGCTATCATCTCTGGCCAAAATGGGTCGGCGTGCATCACCCATAATTACCCATGGCTCACAGGATAGCTGCTACACTTCACTACAAAGACCTGCTGACACATCTCATCCACAGCATGAAAAACTATGGTTGTTAGGAGAGCATCTTGTGAACATATTAAAGTAACAACATTTATGAATCAACATTAGGCATAGTGTGATTTGATCAATAACACAATTAATGCAAGTGACATAGTATAAGAGAAAAAAACTATTTAAATAAACACAGACTAGTGAGAGAATGTTATGGAAGAAATCTAATACAATCCAAGAATCACCTTTTCAAATAAATGTTTACAGACCACAATGCATGCCAAATTCATGAAAAAAATGTTACTATCTTGAACTAGATGTTATTGCTAAAATAAAATCTTGCGAGGAGTGTAATAAAAACCAAGATTTTGCAGTCACTGTAAAGTTCATTTAAAAAGGTAAGTCGTCAACTGATTTGAAAAAATACAAGCAAGGTGTCATTGTTTAACCTCTGTGTTTGTGTCTACTTCTATTTATTTATTTATTTTTAATTTACTGCCTTTTACTACTGTGATGTTTAACTGTCATATATGGTGACGGTCAGGCTCAGTGACTGAAGCATCTAGCCTAGAAGCTTCCAGTACGGCCCCTGCTTTGTATATAGAAAGGGTGTCCTTTAAGAGAGCCTGGATTCCTCCCTCAGCATGTAAGTACAGTCATATTCGCTGAGGATTCATTCCAAGATCTACCGCGGATAATAGTGAACAATCCACTCATCCCATATATAACATGATTTTTGTGTACATACGTATGGTAAAGGTTAATTGATCAATTATGTACAATAAGACATTACCAACATCATATACTGTAATAATATAGTACATTGTACATAATTTTACAGTACTGTACAGTAATATATTGTCTTTCTCGAATGAAAGGGATTTTGACATGTTAGCCTAATTCTCATGAGGCAATAGAGCAATTAAAAATATATATATCAAGGGATGATGGAGCAATGAAAATCATGCTTTTGTAGATTTTATAACACATACACTGTGATAATGTGGCAAGAAATACAATCAGCAACAATGCTAGAGGCTAGAGGCAGTTCTGCAGGGAAGCGCGGGTATGGGGACAAGAGAAGAATCAAGTACTGAGCGTAATTGGGCCGATGGGTTTCACCGTATTACGGTCTGTACTTGCTTGGTGCCCAATTTGAAAGTTATGAACCGTTTATTTCTGGAATTACCAAATTTTATTTTCAGACCACGGTAAGCCGCGGATCACTGCAACAGCGGATACGGTGTTCCCACTGTACTCCAAGATATGGTTCTGATCATCGTAATCTTAATAAAAAATGCTGTACACAGATACAAGAATATTAACAAAAGCAGGCCCTCAAGCATTTGATGTAAGTAAATCAGGCATCCAACCCCGGATATTGAGTAACTGAGAGCCTCACCATCCATCGCAAATCCACCTGCATCATCAGCACCGCTGCCAAGGTTGCCAGGCCCAATCCACCCACTATCTCAGCATGGTCTCATGTCTCAGCTGTTGCCAGATGTTGACAAGCCACAGATGGCCATGCTGGCCACCTAAGCAACTCCCCTATACACTTTTTACTGTTCCTGATGGTTGCCCCACCACTGGCAACCCACACGGCAAATTTCTCATCTCAAAAAATAGCTCCAGTGGCCTGCTCGGAGGGCTGCAGAAACTCATAATGTAAAAGATATGCATCATGTAATAAAAACTCATTATGAAGTGGCAACGGGACATGGTAGGTCCCATCCTACATGGGGGTGCTTTGTCATTTCAAGAAACCAGAACCTGTTAATACACGAGCCTTGAAGACACACTTAAAAACAGGGAATACTATTTAAATATTTTGCTCCCTCCTGTTTATTAAAATTCCTAAATTCTGTTTCT